TGCACACTCCCACGATAAGAACGCCGTGCCGGGAATGCGGGGGGTGTGGAAGGGGAGAGAAGGAGGTCTCTTCTTTGAGAGGCGGGAAATGGGATGGAAAAACACTGATCTAGGAGAATTTTTTAAAAATGAGCAAGTCAGTAGCTTTCATGCTTGAGAGGAAAATGCAACAAGATACAGACAGTATTGTATTACAGGCTCAAATGACTTTGTCCTTTGCAAGTTTGATTGCAGAATGGCCACGTTTTTGTGGCAGGAGAGCCAGGTATTCACACTGTGAACTCTGAGTGACAGATTCTTGAGTTAGGCTTTCTATGCCAATGGTCTTTTTAAGACATACTGATGGATTATTCCAATTACTTCCAAAGAAGCTCCCCATCCTGAAAAATCTGTATTTATACATTGCCATTTAATCATAACAGTGAAAGCCTAGTTATTTCTATACTGACTGAGGGACTGCCAACTGCTCTGCATTTACACTGTTCTTGCCTGTATCAATGGGTGCTGGTTTTGCTGTGGGTTCCAATTACTATGACCCAACTTACGGATTCATTGTGATCAATAAATAGTCTACAAATCCCTTAAACAAAATAATCTGCTGGCCAGGTGTGATGTTTACATTTGCTCTGAAGGGGTAGGAGCCAAGAATTATTAGCCACAGGAACTCCTGTTCTTGCTAAGCCCGAACTGTCTACTCTGGATTAGCATAACCTGACAGCCCACCGGTTTGGGAAACCTGCAGTTTCCTTTGAGCAAAAGAGGACCTTCTGTGCGCCCCAGCTTTCCGGTTGTCCTTTTCCGCTGCTCAGAGAATACTGGAGAATGGGAAGTTTTGGTGTCTCATGGGAGGTTGCTCCCTCCAAGGTGCCACAGTTAAACCTTAGCATTTCAACCCAAGGGCTTTTGCTTCATGGGGCAGCTGGAACAGCACCCTCCTAATCTCAGCAAAGCTCTGGCGATATCTGGTGCCAAAAGCTTGGCCTGTGGTTCCGAGGCACTCAGCAAAGAATAGCTTGTTTGTCAGGAGCACTGCAGCCCCATTCAGGAGCCCTTTAACCAGATTAGAGAAGGATTGAAGGCATTAGTTCATGGGTGCCTTGGAGTTTATTCTGGATGGATTTCAAGCACACAGGGCATTGCCCAACTGCCCATGGGAACCCAGCATAGCTTTCCGGCCAGGAAGTCCACCTCTGGGTACACGGGGGATTTTGTCAGCCATAGGAAGGGGGCTCTGGGGTTAGGAGACAACAAGGCCTGAGGAGCCAGGGGATCCCTGGAGGGTGTTAATGATTAACTGCTTTTTTAGTCTTAACTGGGCTATGCCAGGAGCTGTAAACAAGCCAGAGCCAGCGCTGGCACACTCTCACTGGTCCCTCCCTGATGAAGTGTTTTCCTGGACAGGGACTTGGGGGAAGGGGAGAGTGGGGGAGGAGATACTGGCTGAATCAGGAGGAGAGAGTCGCTGCTGGCTTGAATGCAGGCCATGTCAGTGGGATGGAATGCAAAGAACAGTGTCCACGAGACGATCGGGACTGAAAGGCATCCAGTCCCATGTGCTCTGCAAACTTCAGCCCCACCGTCCCTGTAGCCCAAGGAACATAACCTTCCCTGCTTTCCCATGCACGCTGCTGCTTTTGACCTCACTAACATGCATGCAGGCACGCACACGGGTCTTTGGCTCTGGGTGGCATCCTGTAACTGCTAGTGCATCCCACAGATTGCACAGCTACACTGCTCTCTGCTGGTTCCCCCAAGCAGCACACCTTTTGTATCCCTCACATAACATATTTGTCTAATCCCCAGACATAATGTCTCTAATGCATTTTATTTTCTATGCCCTCCATCTACATGCACCTAATCCAACATACACACATCGCACAACTACCTTCCCATCCAGAGCGTTGCTATTGGCAAGGGGAATATGCCAATCAATACTGTGGGCAAAGGTGCCTTTTTAGGAAAATGAGGTGGCCTTCCTAGCTCCAGGATGTGCTTTGTCATGGGGTTAGTTGTGGAGGTCCTCTATAAAGAAGGCTTCAAGCTTCCTTTTTTATATATACTCTTGCACTTGGCTGCATATTATTCCGTGGCAAACGTGAGCTGGCCTGTGAGTGAGGTGTGGGAGTCTCTGCAGGGCGAGGCCATACTGGGGTTCTGAGGAGATGAGACAAAGTCCTTGTGCCGCCTTGTAGTGGATGGCTCACGTATCTCTAAGCACTCAGGGTGGAACCAGATCCAGCCCAGAAATAACTCCCCTTCCCCCACAGGCTCCAATTACAATGGCTGGCATCTGAAGCAGCCCCTGAGGTTGGGCATCCTCCACTCCCTCTGGCTCCAGTGAGGGAGCCCCCAGCACCAACCAGAGAGAGTCAAAACACTAGCAAGTCCTTAACACCTGACCTGGGAGGAGGCTGTAGCAGCCATTTTCATTCCTGACAGGTCCCTTTCAGTCCATGATTTGCTGGCACTAGGCTGACTGTCTGGATGTAGCCCAGCAAACCCTATCTCCGCCTGCGTCATCAACCTTGGAGACGGGCTACTGAAGCCTGGAACTAACAGTTGAGCAGCGAGGAGCACGCAAGCATAAGTCACTTTGCTTTCCCTCTTCCTAATTCTTTGCAGGACGCCTGCTAAAACAGCTGCAGGACATCTTGTAGGACCCCAGCAGCACCAGGAGCATCCCTATGCCATTTTGCAGCCCTCCAGAGGGATGTCCCAGTCACACCTTCTCAGAATCCTGCTGGTACTGGTGCTGTGCCTTCAGGTAAGGGTCTTGGTTCCTCCTTCCTGTCTGGCCATTTCAGATCAAAGAAGGGGCAGGCCAGTCCACCTATTTCTTTTTCTTTCCTTTTCCTCAGGGAGCCTCTTCCCAGATTATGGAATATGTATATGAATACGTATATGAAAGTTGGAAGGCCTACAGTGAAGAGTGTCATCGCAACATGAGCCTTTGGCCACCACCTACTGGTGAGACAAGGTCCCGCTAGAGATTGGGTATCAGCTGACAATAAATCTGAACAAGGAAAGGTGGGGTCAAGTCTTGACAGCTCTGCAGGGGGAGGGCAATTTGTATAGCAGCCTGATTAATTTGATCACCCAGCAGTTTCTTGCCTGTTTGCTTACTGATTTTTTTTTCAGCTCATTCTGCTTAGCTGTCAAAGAACAGGTTGAAAGCTGGGATCCTATGCTTTTTGATACATTCTGATGATTACTACGCAAGAATCTTGGAAACTATGGCATTAGGGGAATGGAGAAAAGAGGTCACAGAAATAGTAGAATGCAAATTAACAGAGATCACATTTTTCCTTGAGAGTGATACATGCGTGTGTATACACACACACACACACACACACACACACACAAATGGTTTCAAGGCAGTAGACACCAAAAGACTGAGGTTTATGAATGGACTACAAGCCAGGAATTACTAGGCAGTTATATAGGTATGTACACATGAATAAAGCAAGAGAAAAGATCTCACAGATATGTCCCCAGTATAGCTTATTTGAGTCAAGTCAAGTCTCCAATAGAGCTTATTGGATAAAACATTTTAGGCCCACTTGATACAAGGTAAGAGATGTAATTATGGAAGTGGAATAAAATAGTAAAAATAAGAACCCCCATACATACACCTGCTGTACCCATCTTTGTACTTTCTTTTCTTCCACAGAGCTGGTTTGTAACCGAACTTTTGATAAATATTCATGCTGGCCTGATGCACAGCTCAACAGCACAATCAGTGTTTCCTGTCCCTGGTTCCTGCCCTGGTATGACCAAGGTACAGTACTTGCACTAGGGATGATTGACATTATACCATGTCCTTAGCAGGGAAAATGGAAATGATGTATCTAGACAACGTATGTGGTGATTCCAATGTTGGAGTAGAACTGGAGAGACCCATGTTCACTTCCATCTTCAGCCATGGAAACTCAATCGATTATTGGGATAAAGCAAACTCTAATACTAACCTAGCCATGGGGGAATTACAGTTAGAGGATATAATGTACTGTCTTCTTCCAATATATAGGTCTGCAAGGTAGCAAAAAAGGCAATTTTGTATTCTTACAAAATTCTTAACTATTTTACATTTTGATTCAAAAGTTTGTGTGCTGGGTTTTAAAGTTTAATTCAATGATATATGTCAACTTTCAGCCTGAGAGATGGCCCTGTATTTGTCAATATGATTACATATGGCCTAAGTTTAATTCACTGTTTAAAAATTGAATGGTATACTATGCCATTATTATTTCAAAACTCTCGAAAGTTTTTTTCTCTTTTTTTTTTAGTTTTTACTGTTTTGTTTATTTAGTTTTTGTTACCAAATTTTTGAGATACTTTACATAAAATTTAGTAGATTTATTTCCAGTTGTCACTATTTGTATTATGTTTATTGCTATTCTATCAGTTTTAAAAAATAATTTAAAAGCTTACATACAATGAGTTTAGGTTCTGGCGGAAAAGAGGGATATAAAACTAATACATAATCAGGGAAATGATAAGAGGATGCATAAAAGATCAGCCTGATTTTCTGGGGAAAGATAAGTTGAAAGTCAGAGGGTGTAGGAATTTAGGGTTGGAAACAGATATTAGAAACAACAATAGATGATTAAAGCTCAGGACAGGTAGACATCCACAATGGAGCAGGATACATTTATTCTAACAATCCTCTTTCTTTCTGCAGTGAAGCATGGCTATGTATTCAAGAAATGTGGTCCGGATGGACAATGGGTGACTGGTCCTGGAGGAAAGTCACTGCGTGATGCTGATCAATGTGTGATAGACAACAAGAAAGACCAGGTTAGCAGAGATCTAAATGAGTTCTGTTAGTGCTTACAAGATCATCTTTTTCCTGCTTCCATAGGTAAAGTTCCCCCATTGGGGGGAGATGGGCAGTTGAAAATTAAATAAATAAATAAATAAATAAATAAATAAATAGGATCTGAATTGGTTCGGTGCCTCAGATGACCTCTTTTCCTCTTTTTCTTTCCAGGAGTGGTTTGATAGAATCTATGGAAGCTTCAGAGTGATGTACACGGTGGGCTACTCAGTGTCCCTCTGTGCCCTGCTGCTGGCCTTGGCTGTGTTGCTAGGCTTCAGGTGACTTGGGAACTGGATCAGGACTGTAGATGGGTGTGGGAGTTGACCCTTGCAGCAGTGGAGAAAAAGGGAAGAAAAAGTAAATGGATTGGGCTGGAATGAAATGGATTCCTTCAAAGTGGGAGAAGAAAAGAAAGAGGAGAGTTAGGATTGCTGGTCATAGGCTCACCTGATAGTGCCATGAGAGTAAACATCCAGGGCCCCACTCAGCATAATGAGCAAAAGGGGCCCTTAGACAAAGCAGGCGTGAACGATCTTATTCTGAAGTACACATTATCCCCCAATGAGGGGAGCCCTTGTCTTCATGTCCAGCCTCTAAAATGATCTAACTTCATCTCTACTGATCAAAAGGACATTTAACCCTATTCCATCCCATCCCATTTTGGGTAGTACTTGGGGGAACGTGCACTGGAATAGATACATCTATCGAGTCTGGACAGACTGGTTTTTTCCAGAACTGTTAAAGTGAGGGGTTGCTGCAGAGGAATGAAGGGAGCTATCAGATGGCAAGAACTGAAAGGCTGATGAATGAGGTGAAGGCACAGAGAATCAGGGGGCAAGGTTTGGGAGGGACGGTGGCCAGTGGGGTGAAGATTTGGGCAGAGGGGTACTACGTGACACTAGCCAGGCAGACAGGCATTTTTGACAAGCTCCCTGCTCCCCAGCAAGCTGCACTGCATGCGCAACTACATCCACATGAACCTCTTCGCCTCCTTCATCCTGAAGGGCATCTCAGTGCTCATCATCGACACACTGCTCAACACTCGCTACAGTGAGAAGATCGATGACTACAACGTGAGCCTCTGGCAGAATGACAAGGTGACAGCTCCCTCTTTTACAGCCTCTCTTTCATTTTTTTTTTCTCCTGTTCCCTGTTTCTAGCCACACTGTAAGGCTTCCTCCCAACCAGCGCGCACCCATATATGTACAGACCCCAGTAATCCTTATGGCAGGAGTTTCCAAACTTTGTGATAATGCAGCCCCCTCAAATGATAAATGAATTAGGTTGGGCAGGAAATTAATAAGTCTAAATAATGTATGTAAATATAAATAATTACATGTTAATACATATCGTATATATTTATTTGTCTATCACATTTACAGTATATCCCTATATCCCAGCACAACTGCATGCAGACTTGGGTGGCTCCTCTGTCACTAGAGGTTCTACAGTAGCTCATTGCAGATCCACATAGTCAAAGTGGGGAACAAAGCCCTGACTGAGTTTTGCTGCTGCCCCTTCAGTTGGGCAGGTCTGATCAGATTTTAAATAAATTGTGACACTCTCCTCTCCTCTCCTCCGCCCCTTGAACATCGTTGTGTCTTCCTGAGAGGCCCCAACCCCCAGTCCCTGCTTTATGCCCATCGCTCTGCTGTTCTACAGCCCCAGCTGCGTCTGTTTCCATGCCCAAACAACCAAGCACCATTGAAAAGGTTTGGGATGGTTTAAAATAACTTATGGGGGGGAAAAAACAAGCTTTAAGTTAGCTGAAACCTATAGTCAGTGACTGTGCTGCATACTATCACATGTCGATAACCTTCACATAAGGAAGCCCTATTGTTCTTCACCTATGTAACTGCTCAAGATAAGACACTTGTGAAAATGAAAGCTGATCCTGGAGCTAGACTGATTCAAAGTGAGCCATGGGAGTGCTATAAAATCTCCACTGATTCACTGTTTGTATTCACTACATTTATATGGTAAGGGTGAGGATCATATGGTCCTCTGGAAATTTCTGAAGTACATTTCCCAGCAGCTCCAGTCAGTGTAGTCCCTGCTGAGGAATGCTGGGAATGCTGCTTTGGCAACATCTGGAAAGGCACACCTTACCTAATCCTGGATATGGGAAGTAGCACTGTTTGTTCTTGCCAAGCAGTTTCTAACAGCTGCAGTCCACAATTCAAGGAAAGGCCACTGGCACTCTGCCCAGAAAGGTCTGAATCCTGTGCAAGTGACAAAGAGGTATTTCATCCTTTTCTTTCTTCTCCCGTACTCCTCAGGCTGCCCCACTGCTAGTTTTTAATCATAAGGCAATGTTTCTCAACCTCAGCAACTTTAAGATGTGTGGACTTCAACTCCCAGAATTCCCCAGCCAGCATGCATGAAGTCCACCCATCATAGAGCTGCCAAGGTTGAGAAACCCTGTCCTAAGGCATCAACACGAAAGCAGTCAGAACCTGCAGCAATTGAAAGATGAACCAAAGGAGGACTGATTTATTAGAGATAACAAATGCTGGGTTTGCTTGCTTTGATTCTGCCATTTGTAACAAGGGTGGGGGGGAATGAAAGAGGACAGAACTGGTGTCATCTCGAAGGCCAGGAAGAAGAGGTGTTATCAGGGTGAGGAATTCACAAGGCCACGACTTGGTGAGAAAGAAATCTGGCGCCAGAGAAGAAGGGGGAGCAGAGAGGATAAAAGTAGAGGGAAAGTTAGGCGGGCTTTAGTTTTAGCAATGCTTTGCTTAGAGCTGCATGTACCATCAAATAAAGGAGATTTTATCTGAACCAGCCCTGGTTTCATGAGAATTCTTCTGGATTGGGATTTGGACATTGTAGACCTGACAGTGGAATGGACAAAAGCACTGCCCAACCTAGACAGCATTCCTGGGATTATCCTTGTTCCTGACTCCTCTCCTTCCTGCAGGCAGCAGCAGGGTGCCAGGCAGCCACCGTGTTCATGCAGTACGGTATTGTGGCCAACTACTGCTGGCTGCTGGTCGAGGGGATCTATCTGTACAACTTGCTGGTGTTGACTGTCTTCTCTGAACGCAGCTACTTCACCCTCTATCTCTGCATCGGCTGGGGTGAGTACAGGACTGGCAGTCGAGGGTTGGGATGGGATGTTATTCGTATTGGGGGAAAATTCCATTGAAACAAATAACTATCTGTGTAATGCCAAACAAACTGAATGAGAAAAACCCCAAAATTTGACAACTCACCTCCCTCATACCTGTATTTTAGGAGTTACAAAAGGTCTGTGTTGGGTGGAATCTAGAATATTGACTCTTCCTGGACTGATTTTCTGCCTGGGATGAAGAGATTGTCATTTTTTGCATAATTCTATTCGCTTTTTTTCCCCAGGGGCCCCAGTCCTCTTCATTGTGCCATGGGTGGTGGTGAAATTTCTTTATGAAAATATTCAGTAAGTTACAACAAAAATGTCATATGTGTGGACAGTGCACATGCTGGCTGCAGTTTTTCTGTGGCCCCATTGTTAGCAGGTATTTTAGAAAATGACATTCACAGGAGATTTGGGAGTGCATGGTAAAGGACATTGTACCACACGTGAGCAGTGGGAAAGCTTGCTGAGAAAGAGAATGAGGATCTGTACCCATTTTGTTCTTTCTTCATCACTCCTCCAGTTGTTGGAGTACAAATCATAATATGGGCTTCTGGTGGATCCTGCGTTTCCCTGTGTTCCTAGCCATCTTGGTAAGTCCTATATTTTTTTGTTGTTGATGCCTTGGGCCCTGAGAGCTAAGGGCATTGTCCAAAACGGCATCATTTTCTTGTTTTCAGTCGCATTCTTTATACAGTATGTTCTGTTAACCAGTTTAGGGCAGGGGTGGAGGGAACGTGTATTTAGTTTTCAAGTGTGAAGAAGTTCAGGCCCAAATGGTTTCACTTTTCCCTCCAGTCTTTATTTTTTAAAAATTAAACATCACAGGATGGCTTCCAATAATCAATCAATCAATACAACTATTGTGAAAGTTCAAATCACTATTTACAATGAATAAGCAGCTGAAGTTTCAGATATCCAACACAGTATAGGCCTAAAATCCTGTAATATTCTATAACTCTTCTTTCAGGATAGGTCCTGGCACATTTCAAGTGTTAGAAAAAGAGCCTCTTTAAAAAAATGCCCTCTATCTTGGGCCATAATTGCTCTAAGGCAGGGGGAGATGAGCCAGGGTCTGCCAACTGCACATGGCCCACATTGACCTTCTTGGACAGGCACATGAAGAAAGCTTAACATTGGCCCACCTAGCCCAGCAGTCTGCTCTCATGGTGGCCAGCCAACCGCACAAGGAAGCCCACTGGTCTCCCAGCAGAAGGCCGTCAGAGGCAGTCCCACTGCCATCAAGGCTAATAGCCATGGATCCCCGTGACTTCCATGAATCAGTCCAGTCCTTATTTGAAACCAGACAAGCTGGTAGCCAGCACCACCTCTCGTGTAGCGAATTCCAGAGCTCATGCCAGCAGAATGATTTGCATAAAGGCAGTCCTTCAAGTAACCTCTGAGGTTTTTTTTTCTATGTATACATTGTGTACTGGATTTGTGGGTTTTATTTGGTTCATTCTGATCATATAGTCTTCTAATGTTTGGATTGCAATGAAGTTGGTTTTATGTATTTATGTATTTATTTTTTAAATGTATATATGCTGCCCATCTCACTATACAAGTGACTCTAGGTGTTACAAGTAAAAAAACTATAAAATCTTAGAAAAAATATACAGGTTAGAAACTACAAAAGATTAAAATTAAAACTAAAAAGTTAAAACTACAGTGCAACTAAAAAGGTGGAGAGAGCATCCTCAGGCTACCAACCACCCCCAGTGCTACAAACCCCCGTTGGGTCCCCATGCAAGTTGGCAGAGCCAGGTCTTGAGGCCCTTTCAGAAGGCCAACAGAGTGGGGGCCAATCTCACCTCAGGGGCCAAGATGTTCCAGAGGGCAGGAGCCATGACAGAAAAGGCTCTCCTGGACCCCGCCAGTTGAAACTCTCTAGGTGACAGGGCCCATAATATACCCTTCCTGCCAGACCAGGTGGGACAGGTCAGTGTAATGGGGACAAGACAATTCCTCAGGTAACCTGGGCCCATGCCATGAAGGGCTTTAAAGATCATAACCAACACCTTGAATTGGACCCGGAAGCAGACCAGCACCCAATGTAGCTCGCACAGCAGAGGTGTTACATGAGCAGTCCCAGAGGCGCCCATAACTGCCTGCGCCACCACATTCTGCACCAGCTGCAGCTTCCAAATACTTTTAAAGGATAGCCCCATGTAGAGTGCATTGCAGTAGTCCGTACGGGAGGTAACCAGGGCATGAGTAACACAAAGTTGAGCAAAGGTCCCCCTAGCCATGGCCACCACCTGCTCCTCAGGCAGGAGTTGTGAGTCCAGGAGGACCCACAGATTGTGCACCAGGTCTGTCTGGGGCAGTGCTACCCCATCCAGAACCAAAGATGGTAAGACCCCAGATACAGATATTTTTATAATAAGTGGGCTTTTTCTCCTTTTATTTTCTGTGAATAATAATAATAATAATAATAATAATAATAATAATAATAATA